GCTACTGACGAGTGAGTTTCTCAACTTAGTTGAGTACCAGTTTCTTTCCCTAAAAATAAACAAATAAATAGATAGGAAAGAAAATTTGAACTGATAATGAAATAGGCAATCAATAAATCCTGCTCTAATATTGAAAGAATAATGCCAGTTCTCTAAAAGTTAGCATATACTGGCCGGTGCCAGGGCTCAATAGGCTAATCCTCCGCCTGCGGCGCCGGCACACCGGGTTCTAGTGTCAGTCGGGGCGCCGGATTCTGTCCTGGCTGCCCCTCTTCCAGGCCAGCTCTCTGCTGTGGCCAGGGAGTGCAGTGGAGGATGGCCCAAGTCCTTGGGCCCTGCACCCGCATGGGAGACCAGGAGAAGCACCTGGCTCCTGGCTTCAGATCAGCGCAGTGCGCCGGCCACAGCGCGCCGGCCACAGCGGCCATTGGGGGATGAACCAACGGAAATAGAAAGACCTTTCTCTCTGTCTCTCTCTCTCTCACTATCCACTCTGCCTGTCAAAAAAAAAATTATAAAAGTTAGCATATACATTTCATGGGATTTTAACAAAAGTCCTAATAGATATTTTTAATTAGATAAAATAATCTGAAAGTCCATATGGAAATAAAAACTTTAACCAAGATAAGAAACACAAGTGTTTTACAAGAAAATAAGACAATAAAAGAACATACAAAAGAATATATAATTATCTATAGGAAAATTACATTAAAAAGGATAGATGGGGCCGGTGCCGCGGCTCACTAGGCTAATCCTCCACCTTGCGGCGCCAGCACACCGGGTTCTAGTCCCGGTAGGGGAGCCGGATTCTGTCCCGGTTGCTCCTCTTCCAGACCAGCTCTCTGCTGTGGCCCGGGAGTGCAGTGGAGGATGGCCCAAGTGCTTGGGCCCTGCACCCCATGGGAGACCAGGATAAGCACCAGGCTCCTGCCTTCGGATCAGCGCGGTGCGCCAGCCACGGTGGCCACTGAAGCGTGAACCAATGGTAAAAGGAAGACCTTTCTCTCTGTCTCTCTCTCTCACTGTCCACTCTGCCTGTCACAAAAAAGGATAGATGGGGGCTGGCACTGGCTCAGTGGTTCAGTCACCACTTGGAAGTTCTTCATCCTGTAACAGAGTGCCTGGGTTTAAGTCCCAATTCCACTTCTGCTACCAGCTTCCCACTAACAGGCATCTTGGGAGGCAGTGGTCATGGTTCAAATAGTGAGATTCCTGCCACCCAAGTGAGAGACCTGGATTGAATCCCCAAAGTCTGGTTACAGACTGGCCCAGTGGGTTTTGCAGGCATTTGGGGAGTAGACAGAAGATCTCTCTATGTCTGTTTATCTCTCTCTCTCTCTTCTTTCAAATAATTTTTTTAATTTATTTATTTAAAAGGCAGAGTTATGGGGGAAGGAGGAAAGAGAGAGAGATATCTTCTATGCACTGGTTTATTTCCCAAATGGCAGCAATGGCCAGGGTTAGGCCAAGCTATAGCTAGGGGCCAGGAGCTTCATCCAGATCTCCAGCTTGGGTGGCAGGGGCCCAAGCACTTGGGCCATCCTCCACTGCCTTCCCAGGCACATTAGCAGGAAGCTGGATCACAGCGGAGCAGCCAGGACTTGAACCAGTGCCCACATGGGATGCTGGCATCATAGGTAGAAGCTTAACTTGCTATGCCACGATGCTGGCTCCAGCAAATAAAAATTTTTAAAAAGGATATATGAGAAGCCGGCACTGTGGTGCAGCAGGTTAAAGCCCTGGCCTGCAGCATTGGCATCCAATATGGTCACCAGTTCCAGTACCAGGTGCGCTATTTCTGATCCAGCTCCCTGCTAACACAGCTGGGAAAGCATCAGAGAATGGTTGAAGTGCTTGGGCCCCTGCACCCACATGGGAGACCCAGAATAAGCTCCTAGCTCTGACCTGGTCCATCCCTGGTCATTGCGGCCATTTTGGGAGTGAAGCAGTGGATGGAAGACCTCCCTCTCTCTGTCTCTACCTTGTCTGTAACTCTGCCTTTCATATAAATAAAATATATCTTTAAAAAATAAAAGGATATGTGAATATTTGTTTTAACTATTGCGTAGCAACAGATAACATAAATTAAATCAATAAACAACAGAATAAACCCACATGAAAACCATGAAGTAATTAACCAATATGAAATATGAGTTGAAACATGTGGAACAAAAATATAAAATGATGCTCCTATTCACTGCTTTGGGAAGAGTATAGAATAAAGTAACAGTAAGATAACACCTTAAGTTTTTCAGATTGGCAAAAATTAAAAAGTGCCATAATGCCAAGCAGATGGCAGCAGACAGACAAGCAATGGAGTATAATGGTAGTTTTATTTCTAGGGGACAAATCCCCAGGACAAGGTCCAGTCAAATAAATCACTGTAATTGTAGCAGTAGTAGCAGCACTAATCCTATCAATAACAATTACCACCGTCACCACCACAAAGATAGGAGCCATCCACCTCCTCCACTCCATTTTCAATTAGTAGTCACTGGAGCAACGACAACCACAAATACTGCTCCACACAGACAGCATTTTTGTGCCACTGTCCTACGTGCTTTATGGATATTAGCTCTAATCCTCGCAACTCTAAAAAACAGAAACGATTATTCCCATTGTACAGAATAGGAGATACTGAAAGTGCCTTGCAAACACAGAAGTACTCCATTAGCTATTTTGTATGTTAGCTTTATATGATACCAAATTATTTTGTTTTGTTGATGAAATTGTGATTCAACATAACAAAGACACTCCAATGGCTCAAATTCAGCAGAAAAACAATTTAACAACGATAAAAAATCATGAATGTCCATGATACGAATGGGTACATGTGGGCAGATACGAGCAAATACATATTTGCGTGAAGCAACTTAAAATACATAGGGATGCATACTAGGTGGTTAACCTGGATGACCATGCTGGAGAGGAGGTGATACTGGGAGAAGAGGAGGGTCGGAGGAAAAGGAAAGCAAGCCAGATAAAATCAAAACACACAAAGTTAGAAAACTGTAGTATAGGAGAACGGCAGAGACATAACAGGTTTCATTCTCTGTGGAATGAAACTCCTGGAAGAGTTTAAGGTTTAGGAGCTTTTAAGCAAATTACATTTTTCAGAAAAGCAATAGTCTTGTTAAATGATTTGGAGTTTTCCCCCTCACATGATAATCATTGTTAAGGAAGTTTTCAGGGGCAGGCCTTAGGAGGCAGAGGTGAAGCCACCACCAGGGATGCTGCATCCCATAGCCAAGGGTCTGGGACCAACTGCTGCCTCTGCTTCTCACCCAGCTTCTTCCTAATGCACCTGCACGCTGCAGGTGATGACCCAGGTACTAGGGTTCCTGCCCCTTGTGCAAGACCAGGATGGGGTTTCTGGATCCTGGCACTGGTCTGGCTACTGCAGGCATCCGGGAAGTGAAGTACTGTATGAAAGATCTCCCCCCTTCTCACTCTGCCATGCAAGTAGATAAAGAAATCTTTCAAAAAACAAACCCAAAAAAAGGTTTCCAGAGCTTTATTCTTTACTGAACAACAACAACAAAACTTAGTAATTCCAAAGTTAAAATTAAGGCTACACGTTAAAGGCACTGTCTAGGAGAAGGAAAGGTAAGCGGTGCTCCAAGAATTGCCACCATTGGACTATCTGACCTTTGGCAAGTCATCTAACCCTCACTTATTTCCTCATTCACAAGGGAAGGAAGTTCAGCAAGGCCATTTCTAAAGTTCTTTTTAGTAACAGAATGTGATGATTTTTGAATTAAAAGGCCTAAGGTAGAAACGTAAGAGGCTATTAAATACGAGTGATAAATACACTTAAAGAAAAAAGTTCAAAATCTTAATACCTTATAGATAAGTAATGTAGTGATCCAGTTTAAAATGTACCTTTTAAGAATTAAAAACTACAATAAGATCAGTTAGCGATTTTACATTTCTAAATGGTGAATTTACTCAATGTTTTAATTTTCACGTTGAGAGAAAAGTACTGTCATGTTAGATATATTCCAGATTATTTGCTTAACAAAGGTTTGTCACCTTAAAATGGTATCATCCTCAAACAGTCTATCAACCAAAAGGTCATCCTCTGGAGGCCACATGCAAGATCCCATGAAGAAAACACTGGTCAATGCCAGTCAGGCAGCACTCCTCCCCCCAACAAAGTTCCATATTAACATTTTTAACAGAAAATTCTAGAATCCCAGAAATAGCAAAAATAAAAAAAAAGTACCTACTTAAGTATGACAGCCTACTGAAGCAGTAAGTTTTAATTTTTATATTTTCCTATGTTACATAAATACTAATGATTATTAATAACACTTTATGAAAATATATGCCTGAGCATAAGGCATTAAAAAGTCGGTAACCCATAGGGCATAAAGATTTCCATGAGTTTCTTAAATTTTATGTATTTTATTCCCTTAAATAGTCATGGGATTTTCCAAAAGTATACACAAAATTCCTTACACTTCACCAACTTAGAAACAGCTACACGAAAACCACCTTTCAGAACTTATGGGATCCCCTAGAAAACCCTACCTACTTCTTTGATAGGATACCTAGGTATGAATCTTTACCAAGAAAAAATATTAAGAGCGCCAGTCCCAACCAAACTTCATAGGCTAGGGTGACATGGAGAAACAATGTATGGCTTGCACAGTTATCTGAAAGTCCTGCAAACAAGCGGTTCCCTAAGTAGTATGTCATAATTTTCTTATCGACGGGTACAAGCACGTGTATTTATTTATATCCCTAGATTAACTTCAAGTCTAATTTTACTGCCGCTAGTATCCAGGGGTGGATTTCTTTTTTCTAATTACAAATGTAGCTCGAGTTAGATCAAAGGCATTTCAAGAAGGTCAAATTTTGCTTCTGTAAAAATAGAGGGTGTGAGCCCATGTAATTAAATAATGCTTGGCCATGCCCTCTGGCGCATTATCTGGTGGCTTCAGGAAGCCCGGTCCAGCCGTCCCCACCTGTTGGCGCCGTGGAACTGTTTGACTTACCCAGAAAAGCAGATTGAGGGCATAAAGCAGGCAGCGCAGGCACTTCACGGAGTCTTCTCTGGCCATTGTGAGCCCCGCGAGGGAGAAGCCCCATCCTTTCACCACATCCTATCCTCGCCGGCCAAAAAGGAGCGATCTGCCGGGCGCCAGGGAGAACAGGGGACTTGTCAGCAGCCAGCTCTCCAGGGCCAGCCCCACCCTCCGTCCCCGGCTGGGTCCGGAGGGTCCCAAAGCCTGGTTCCTCGGAGACACCCTTCATCAAAACGCCCCTGTTAAAGCTGCAGCACTGAGCTCCCCGAAGTTCCCACCCAGCTTCAGATAACACCTGCCGGGCAAAGGAAAGACAGGCTCTGGGGATGAATGAAGGCGCACAGTAAACTCCCGTTCTCAGGGGACACTCGGCGGGTACCTCTGCTTTCCCACGGGACTCCTTAAAACCTCCCTCGACCCGCGCCCCTCCTGGGGGACAGTTCTGCTTGGAGCTGTCCCCGGGAGACGTCACAGGCGCCACTGGCGAGCCGGAAGGCACTCGCGCCCTCCTCCTTAGGACGGCTCCCGAGCCCACCAAACTCGCACGTCCGCACCTCCCGGTCCCGCAGCTCGGGCATGAACACGGGGGACCGGAGGGGGCGCAGCGCGTAGCAGGGATTCCGCCCGGCGACTAGGGTTTCCTTGGGACAATGTGAGAAATGAGGTTTTCGGTCCCAGAGTGATGGATTAGCCCGAGTGGGGGCGGGGATGGGGAGGGGGCGCCGGTGCAGCTGTGCAGACGCCGGGTTAGTCACTGGGTCGCCCTCCCCCGGCCCCGGCCACTCAGAGAGACAAGACGGAGCGCTCCCGGCCGCCTGCGGAGCACAAAGCCGGCGCGGCCAGCAGCCCCGCCACCGCGTGCGCGCGCCCCCGGCAGGGCGCGGGGGTCAGCTCGGAAGCCAGCCTCGAAGTGGCTAAGCACCCAGCCGCCGGGCTGGTGGCACCGCGGGCAGGGAGGACCCGAGACGCGCGGTCACTCACCGTTGGCGCAGGGCTCCGCGCCCCACTCCCGCCGGGGAACAGTCGGGGACACACACTGGGGACTCATCGAGGCAGGGACCCTCCTCCCGCACAGCCAAAGAACTGCATGGGCTCAAACTGCAGACGCTTCCTTCTCTTCCTCTCCCCTCGCCGCCGCCGCCGCCGCCGCCGCCACAGCGGCCGCCTCCTGGGAAAAAAGGGGAAAAAAAAAAAAAAAAAGTCCTGGGCAGCAGTTGCTGGAAAGTCTCTGCTAAGCCACCTCCCAGCGCCGCTGTCCCTTCCCTCCCAAGTCCTTGCCAAGTCCGGACGAGGCAGCGGCGGCAGCCAGGGCCAGCTGCACAAACTCTCAGCGCATGCTCGGGCCGCTGGCTGCCGGGGTTGGGTCCTAGTGGGTGTTTCTTGTCCCCCTCACCCGGCGAGAGACCCCAAAGGGTTCCTCACCTCTGCAAGACACGGTGCAGGAAAAAGATAGAGCCTGGAAACTTTGCTCAGCAAACCCCTTTAAAATGGTGGGGTCGGAGAAATGGAGGCTGGGTTACGACCATAGCGAAGCAGGCTTTTATTATATGAAAATATTTGTGTTTGAGAAGGGGGGTAATGGGTGGCTCAGCCCAGTTCCTGCAATGAGAAACTCGTTTTCACAACCTTAATGGAACCACCTCCTGTGATTTGTCACTAGCGTGGTGCCCTATGAACCTCCTGATGGCTCGGCTGCCCTCCCCGGTTGTGAAAAACAGTTCTTTTCCCCCTTCATGCCCCACTAACGGCACTCGGGGCCACCGGGGCCACTCTGACACCCAGAAGAGGGAGGGAACGCGTTTTAAGGGCTTCACAAGTAAGCCAAGATGAAAGTTGCCAGAATGTCTCCCAGCAAACTTGTTTGGAGTTTTCAATGAGTGATTGATCTTGAAATACGTAGTTGGCAGTGGGAGTTCGGAAAAGTGCCTCTTTGCATGTTTTTACTGAGAAACTAACAGTTTCAATCAAGTAAGACTAGGCGACCATCCTTCCAAAGGTTCTTACCTTTTAGAAATAAGTTTCACACTCCAGAAAAATCACTGGGTCATATTCTCCACTTTCAATTTGGATTTTTTTTTTTTTTTTTTTTTTTTTTTTTGACAGGCAGAGTGAGAGAGAGAGAGAAAGGTCTTCCTTTTTCTGTTGGTTCACCCCCCAAGTGGCCGCTATGGCTGGTGCATTGCGGCCAGTGCACCAAGCGGATCCAAAGCCAGGAGCCAGGTGCTTCCTCCTGGTCTCCCATGCGGGTGCAGGGCCCAAGCACTTGGGCCATCCTCCACTGCCCTCCCGGGCCACAGCAGAGAGCTGGACTGGAAGAGGAGCAACCAGGACAGAATCTGGCGCCCCGACCAGAATTAGAACGCGCAGTGCCAGAGCCGCAGGCGGAGGATTAGCCAAGTGAGCCATGGCGTCAGCCTCAATTTGGGTGTTTTATGCCTCAAAATACAACACGTTTGTGTGATTATTTTTGTGCTCATGGCGTGGCAGATAAACCTTCACCAGCAAATATGAATTACCAGTAATACAAGCAATGTCTTTGAGAAAAGCTAATAACTGGAGTCCTTCAATTTCCTGGCAGGAAAAGAAAAGAGTATTGAAGGCCTGCCTACCCTTGCCTGCCTGTGTGAGGTCAGTTGCTTTCAGGAACAACACTGGCACGATGGCATACCTTCTCATTCAGAGAGAACTAACATCAAGACCAAAAGATGAAACATCAAGGTCCTGGGTTAGTTGGAAAATCCCCAATAAGTCAGCTAAGCAGTATATCAGACAGAAAGCTTGCAAAGGTGTAATGATTTTAGCCATCCACACAAAGCACTAAGCAAAATGTCCCGTCACCCATCCAATGACTCTGAGTCTGGCACAAAAGCTGCTTCTGGATTCACAGAGGAAAGCAAAGAAATCCATTTTTATCTTCAGTTTCTGTTCAGATCAGGACATGTGGGTGTTATAAGCAGAGCCATCTGAATGCTGTAGGTGCCACACATTCCTGAGAGTAAACACCCCCAGCACTGAGGGGAGTCTGAATCATTAAAACTGAGAAGAGAGGGGCCAGCACAGTGGTGCAGTAGGTTAATCCTCCCTTTGCAGTGCCAGCATCCAGTATGGGCCCCGGTTCGAGTCCTGGCTGCTCCACTTCCAATCCAGCTCCCTGCTGTGGCCTGGGAAAGCAGTGGAAGATGGCCCAAGCCTTTGAGCCCCTGCACCTGCATGGGAGACCTAGAAGAAGCTCCTGGCTCCTGGCTTTGGATCAGCCCAGCTCTGGCCATTGTGGCTATTTGTGGAGTGAACCAGTGGGTGGAAAACCTTTCTCTCTGTCCTCTGTCTCTCCCTCTCACTGTCTGTAACTCTACCTTTCAAATAAATAAATAAAATCTTAAAAAAAAAAAAAAACTGAGAAGAGAGCACTGATTTCTGTCGCAGAAGTACATTCCTCTTCTATTTCTAGAAGAGAGTTAAGTGCTTTCAACTTAATTTATGATTTTTTTAAAATTTTTTTTTGACAGGCAGAGTGGACAGTGAGAGAGAGAGGGAGAAAGGTCTTCCTTTTGCCATTGGTTCACCCCCCAATGGCCACTGCAGCCGGTGCACCGCGCTGATCCGAAGGCAGGATCCAGGTGCTTATCCTTGTCTCCCATGGGGTGCAGGGCCCAAGCACTTGGGCCATCCTTCACTGCACTCCCGGGCCACAGCAGAGAGCTGGCCTGGAAGAGGGGCAACCGGAACAGAATCCGGTGCCCCGACTGGGACTAGAACCCTGTGTGCCAGCGCCGCAGGTGGAGGATTAGCCTATTGAGCCGCAGCGCCGGCCTTAATTTATAAATTTTAAGGATCAACACCCAGGAATAATAAAATTTTAGAAGGGGCTTTAGAAATACATATGTACCCCTTTTCCTAGTACATAAGGGGCCTTCAAAAAGTTCATGAACAATGGAATTAAAATATGCCTATTTTGCCCCCCATTTGAAATTCATGAAAAATGAAGATCTTCAAAGATTCCATGAAAGTACATACATTATGAAAAAAAAAACTACTTTTCAAAGTTTTTTGCACCAAAATAAACTGACCTCTTTTTCAGAAGATTTATTGGAAAGGCAGAGTTAATGAGCAAGAGTGAGAGAGATAAGAAGAGACACACAGAGAGCGTTCTTCCATCCCCTGGTTCACTCCTCAGATAGGCAAAAAGACCTGTGCTGGGCCAGGCTGAAGCCAGAATCTGGAACTCCATCTGGGTCTCCCACATGGATGGCAGTGACCCAAGTATGTGGACCATCTTCTGCTTTTCCCGGCCAATTAGCAGGCAACTGATTTGAAAGTGGAGCAGACAGGACTCAAGGCAGCACACATATGGGAGGCCAGTGTTGAAGCCGAAAGCTTAACCCACTGCGCCACAACACCAGACGCATAAATTTATCTTTTAATTCCGTTTTCCCACAAACTATTTGAACTCCCATCAAAAGGATTATAGAACAAAAAGAAGTTAAAGGAGTTGCTTAACATTTCATCTTTACTCAGATTCCAACTGACTTCTAGAATCATAACTCTATCCCTAGTTTGGCGGTTCTTAAAATTATTGTACTTTTAAATCACTTGGGGAAATTTGAAAAAATCCTGATGTTCTAATGTATCCCACACCACTTAAATCAGAATCTCAGCAGTTGTGGCCTACACACACAGATTTCTCAAAGCTCCCTAGGTAATTGTAGTCTCCAGCAAACTTTGAAAACTGATGCAACAAAGGTTTTACAGCTACCTTAAAACTAGTAGAAGAATCTACTCAGGTTCATATCTCCCATGTTAATACATTAGGATTAATAACCTCATTTTACAAGTTAAGAGCTGTAATTATTGCTCTAATAATCCTCATAAATGGTCATCAGATTTTGGGAATCAACATTTCAGTAGAGGAGATCTTACCACAATTGAGTCATTGGGATACTGGGCAATTTGATTGTGTGCACTTTCCTGTAACTCCTTCTCCTGTTAACCTACCTCTAGCCCTACCCTGTTTCTGTCTTTTGGAATCCTGAGTGTGAGCAACACTGTCTCTAAAATGACAGCCCTGCAATGACTTGGGAGCAGCTGCTGTTTCCTCCCTCCCCAAGCTCCTCTTCTGCAGGATTATAGAAGCACAGTAAGATTTGATATCACAGCTGTCATTGGGCAAACTCTATATTTTTCTCTGTAAGAACTGTTTTGTGTGTGTGTGTGTGCACAAAAGGAGGATGAAGAATTCACAATATGACTACAAGGATTTGAATGTAGAACAATACATTAGAGAAATTGTGTGGCTATAGGACAGAAACTCAATTCTATTCTTATATGTGCTTCATAAAGTATTATTTGAGTGTGTGGGACCTACTGAACTTCACACTGAAGATATTTAGTTCCTACCTTCCCAAAAAAGGCAAAATAGTTGTTTTCTAATCATATAAGAATAATATCAATAAGCATTTTCAAGCAGTCCCTTCTGTGTAAGTTACAGAGTCAGGGAGAAAACTCAGCTACAAGGTAAAGTAATACAAGTTCCTGGCTCCACAATAACCTTGTTTGTCCGGGTCTTATTCCACTCGTTCCACTCAGTTATGGAGAACAGAGCAGCACAGGTGTTGGGCCACATGAGTGAATTTCTATTCTTCTTAAGACCCTTACAAGTATACATGGGACAAATCTTCACAGTCACTGCGGGAAAGAGATCTAATATGCTTTGAACTGTTATGTGTACCTTACACAATAAATGCCTCTTTAAGATGTCTACTAATTCTTCATCACCACAAATGCGATGCTGAGATGCAGATAGGAGACTTCTCAAGGGCCACACGGTAGTGAGAAAAGAAGCTGAGAGTCCAAGATTGGTCTGACTTTGCCACTGCTAATCTGTATTCCAATAAAATTTCAAATCTTGGTGAGAATTCATTGACAAAAGCCTTCAGAAGAAAAATATCCAAGGTATCTTACATTTATTTGAGAAACAGAGAAAATGAGATATATTAAAAAGGGGATGCCCAACTACTGGGTCACTCTCCAAATGCCTACAATTGTCAAGGCAGGGCCAAGCTAAGGCCAGGAGCCAGGAACTTAATCCAAGTCTCCCTGGGTTAACTTCATGTGGGCGCAAAGAGGAAGATAGAGAATTCACATGGGTGGCAGGCACCCAATCACTTGGTCCTTCACCATTGACTCCCATGCTCTGCAGTAGCAGGAAACTGCAGCCAGGATGGGAGCTGGGAATCAAATCCACTCAGTCCAGGTTGCAACACAGGCATCTTAACTGCTAGGCCAGACTCCAGCTCCTCAACATTCTTCA